TCTGGCCACTTTTCCGAATCCGAATATTTCTTCATCGTTGTCGTCGCCCTCATTTCCCTTCGTCGCCTTCTGGTCTTCCTTTTCCTCCCTATCCTTCTGCTTTAGTTCCTGCTTTTGCTGCTCGTCCTCATCCTTTTCCTCCCGCTCATCCTTCTGCTCTCCCGCCGCCTCCTCCCTCTGTGCACGCAGTTCCCCCTTTTCCGATCGCGCAAAACACGAAATGGTCTTTCTGAGGAGTCGCAGGTCGACTATGACACGCGTCCGCAGATGATGAAAAATCAGCGCAAAGGAAGGGATGTGAGGGATGGATCTGTGTCAGATGAGGCGCGAGCGCACCTAGGTTGCCTCCCCCCCTCCTCCCCCTCCACCCCTTATCGCCTCCCTCTCCTTCCTTACGCACTCCTCTTCTCCTCTTCTCCTCTTCCCCTCCTCCTCCCCTCCTCCCCTCCCCTCCCCTCCCCTTTCACCCCATCCCCTCCACCATAGCACATAGCAGTGTGCACGGTGTTTGATGTAGGTTTGCTACCGCACGTGGCTTGGGCAGGAACGTTTGCAGAGCCGAGGGTGCCTCCCCCAGCTGTCAGCGTCTGCTCTCGCCCTGAGGCCTAAGGCCGAGGCGGGCGAGACGCTCTTGCCGGACCTGTGCGCAGCGCGCACAGAGCACGTAAGCCCAAGTGCCTCAGAGCGACGTGCCGAGCATACGGTGGCACGGCAGACTGGCAGCGGGGCGAGGCGAGGCGGCTTGCATCCGGGGTGTGCCCCGTCGGAGCGCAGAGTGGAAGACTGGCCGTTCACGGATGCTTTTCGTTTTTGTTTGCTTCCCGGGGCAGCAGATGCCTCCCGTTCGCCACCCTGAGATGGCCTACAGATTTCGGGATTGCCCAGGGTGGCAAGTTGACACGTCGGGCTGATGACCGTCGCCTCAGGCTAGCCACACGGCAGAGCGCTGGCAACATGCCCTGCGCCCTCCCCGCCCCTTTTATCCACTCTCCCCCTCCCCCCTTCCCCCTCTACTCCCCTAGGGGAACAAAAAGTTACATAAACATAAAAACTCGGAGGTCCGCGCAGATTTCTCGGATCGGCGCTGGGGCCCCCCGGCGGCGCCTCCGGCGCCGCCCCGGGCGTGCGGAGCGCGCCAGGGGGGGGTCCAACGCCGATCTGAGAAATCCGCGCGGACCTCAGAGTTTTTATGTTTATGTCACTTTTTGTTCCCCTATTCCCCCCTCCCCCCTCCGCCCCACCTTCCCCTCACAATTACTCAATATGAATACTACTCTCCCTCTTCCCCTGATGACGTCTTGGGAGTAGCCGCCACCCCCCCGCGTACTGTTTTTTTACACGCAGGTTTCCCCAGAGTAGGGTTTTCGCCTGCATTTTTTCCCAAAATGCTGCTCTCGCTGAAGCGCGGGCATCATTTCCGCTAGCGCCTGGGCTGCACGCCCGAGCCGGCGCCCTGGCCGGCGCTCGGGCCGGGTCCGGAGCCGGTTCCGGCCGGCGCCGGAAAATCGAGTTCCGAGGCGGCGCCGAAAAAAGGTCATTCTAATACACATTTTTCTTTGAAAATGCTGAATTTCTGCTTCCGGCGCCCAGGAGGCCTCCCGGGCCGATTCCGACGCCCAGGCCGGCGCCCGAGCCAGCGCCCGCGCCCGCGGGCTGGACGCCCGAGCCGGCGCCCGGGCTGGCGCCCGGGCCGGGTCCGGAGCCGGTTCCCGGAAAATCGAGTTCCGAGGCGGCGCCGAAAAACACATTTTTCTTTTGACAATGCTGAATTTCTGCTTCTGGCGCCCGGGAAGCCTCCCGGGCCGATTCCGGCGTGCTTCCGCTCGTTCCGAATCGTGCTCCCGCTGCAGCGCGGGCCTCATTTCCGCGCTTCCGCTCGTTTCGACTCGTGCTCCCGCTGCAGCGCTGGCATCATTTCCAGTGCCATGCCACGGCATGCAATGCAATGCTAGGTTGATGCGACGCTTCGCGGTGCTCCTCTACGCCATGCCCTGCCGTGCTCTACAATGCATCGCGTACCCTTTCGGGATCATCGCCCTGCTCGACATCCGACTGTGCGAGCAGAGAGGGGATCTGCGCCATGGTAAGGGATGGGAGGGAGGGGTAGGATGCCAGATATGACGCGAGCGCACCTAGCTTGTCTATCCTCCCCTCTCCTCCGTCCTCTCCCCACCCGCCTCCCCTCCCCCGCTCTCCCATCGGGCCCCCCGCTGCTCTGCCCGCTTCTCCAACCCTCCCCTCCCCTCCCATCCGCAACTGTGAAAGGGGCCCTGGGACACACAAATAAATACACACAAATAACAGGATTCCCAATATTTTTCAGTATTTTCTGGGTTTTTGTCTTCCCCCCCACTTCCCATATTTTCCTATATTTTCTGGGGAATCGACGATTAATTGTGTCTGTGTGTTTCCCCCCCCCCCCCCCCCTGGAACTGCTCGACACGAGTGCTGCAGTCGGATTTAAGGCAGAAGACCACCCTTCAAGAACATGAGACCGTCCGTCGGCCAAAACAGACAGAACATCCAAGGTTACCCTGGACGCACACGAACATGCAACAAACACGAAGAACACCAGGGCACCCTCCCCGAACCGACCTCGATCTTATACCTCGGTCCGACTGTACTCTCCTCCCTCCCCTGGTCACGTCCAGCGGCCTCGCCCCCCGCCGCCTCTCTCGCGCATCGTTTTTCATCCACAAGCCGGGTCTCATCGCTTGGTGCTGATCTGTTTTTCTTCTTTCAACTCAGATCGTTGGGACGCAGGGCGCCGAGGGCTGGCGCCGCGGCGGAGGCGGCTCCTCGTCCTCCTCGTCCTCCACCGCTTCCTCATCCTCCTCTCTTCCTGGTCGCCCACCTTGGCTTCCCCTCCTCCTGCTTCCTCCTCCCATTCGTCGTCGTCGCCCTCCTCCTCCAACTCCTCTTCCATACTTCGCCTGGCCCCTGGCCCCTTCGCGCTGCAAGTATGAGCCATTCCAGGATCGAGGCTTGATTCGACACCTAGTTGGCGAATCCCACCAGCCCTCTGGGCGTAGATGTTTAACGAATTTTGTCTTATCCCTGCCAAACCCCTTCCTTCCTCTGCTCGGGGGAAGGGTTTATCAATGTTCCCTAATGTTCCCTAATAATAAACACCCCTTCCCCCAGGCGACCGACAGCCAGCCCGGACCAAGGAGCCCCCCACCATCCCTTGCAAAGGAACAATGCAAACTGCACTGTGCCTCCAAATGTGGCGTATGCGCGGGCGCCCCGCGACCACTTCGCACTTGTTTTTGACAGGGGCGGCCGGGGTGCTGGCATACTGCATGCTGCGCGCAGGACGGCCATCCCTGTCAAGAAGCTATACAGCAGTACACTTTGGCTCCCAGCCTGGAGCATGCGCAGGGTCCTCCTCCCTCCTCCCTCCTCGAGCTCCCATCTGCTTCACGACTCCCCAAGATGTCACGATTTGTCCATCCGTGCTGGTGCCTCGCCTTTCCTGGAGGAGCCGCCCTTCTCACAGAATGCTCGGCGCCTCGCTTCCAAGGGACTCGAGACCCTGAGCTCCTTGGGGCCAGGGCCCCAGGCACCTGTGGGTCCCTGTTGGCTCCCCGTAGCGGGCGCACCTGGCGCGGCTGGAGCACGTGGCACGGTCGGCGCACGTGGAGGCATGTGCCATACCTGGCACGCCTGGGCCTCCAGGGTGCCTGGTGCACCCGGAACCCGCAGCGCGCATTGCACGTGTGACGGTCCTCGGCGGTCTGCGGACACTTGTGTTTTTTTTTTTTTTGTTGTTTTCTTGGGTGCTACCTATGTCTTGGGAGGGCGGGTGGGAGGGAGCCAGACGGCCCGCTATACAGGAGGATAGCTTGACCCCTCCCCCTCCCCGCTCCCCCGGGTCTCGACGGGGCGCCCCTCGAGGGGCTGGAGCGCGCAAGATCGCCCAATGTGGCTCCAAGAGGGCCTCAGAGAGCGCAACATGGCCCCCAGGATGGCCCAAGAGATTCGAACATGGCTCAAGGTAGCCTCCGACATATTTCCAGACGGCCTCAAGACGGTTTCCTGTGCCCTTCGAGCCCTCTAAGGACCTCGCCAAGACGCCACATTAGCTCCAAAGCCTAAGGAACATCAGTGTATTTTTGTCTTCTCGCCTTTTCGCTTCCGATGGGCCTCGGAGGCCTCAAGACGGCCCCAAGACGGTCCAAGAGAGTTCCACGAAGGGCCCAAGAGGGCCCCAAGTGCGCCCAAGAGGGCTCCAAGAGCGGCTCCAGAAGGCACCAAGGCGGCCTTTTTGGACCTCCGACGGGGGGGCCTGAATTCAGGACCCCCCTCTTTTTCAATCATGGGGGCCAAGGTGCCCTCAGGAGGCCTTCCAGACCCCCCAAAGAGACCCAAGAGAGCCCCAAGAGAGCTCCAAGAGTGCCCCAAGAGGGCCTCAAGAGGGCCCCTAAAGGCTCCGCGTGGACTCCAAGAGAGCCCCAAGATGGCTCCCATAGACCTTCAAGAGAACGCTTCCAAGGCGGCGGCTGCACTGTATGCTTCTACACCACTTCCCTGGTCAAAGCAACTCGCCTGGCGATCTACTTCTGGATGGGCTGGAGGGTTCCAATATAACTCCATGAGGACCCGAATAAAGCCCCCATGACAGGGAGCTCGTTTGTGAAATGGTTCTGGAGGGTCCCAAGATAACTCCAAGAGGACCCGAGTACGCCGACCCAACAGGCCAGAGACGTACCAAGATCTCCGGTAACTGCGTAGGTACAGTATTTCTACATCGCGCGCGCGGAGCGGCCCCTGTGGGTCCCCGGGCGAAAATGACCCCGGGCGGTCCCTGGCCGGGTCGGGTCAGAGATCCCCGGCCGGGTCGGGTCAGGTGGGCGCCGCCCTCGAGGCCCTCCAGAGAGCCCCAAGAAGGGCCAAGAGGCCCTCAAGAGGCCCCAAGATAGAACAAGAGGACTCCGAGATGCCACAAGATCGCTCCAGCTGCCCAAGATTGCCCCCATACGCCCCAAGAGGTTTCCAAAAGCACTCCCAAGAGGGCCCCAAGAGGTACAATTCATTGATTTTCCCTAGGTTTTGGACAGATTTGGGCTTTTCCCCTTTTCGGCTTCTCGACGCCTCAAGACGGCCCAAGAGGCCCCAAGATCGCCCCAAGAGGGTCCAAGACGGCGCCAAGAGAGCCCCAAGACAGCCCAAGAGGGCTCCAGGACCGCACAAGACGACTCTAAGACGGCCCAAGAAGGCCCTAAGAACGCCCCGAGAGAGGCTCCAGAGGGGGAGCACGAAACAACATTTCGAGCCCTCGGCCAGAAGCAGCCCCCAGGTGGTCCCCAGAGGTCCCTAAGAGGCCCCCAACAGGCGGTCAGGAGGCCGCCAAGAGGCCCCCAAGGGCCCCCAAAAGGCTCCAGGTTAAGACGCCCCTGAAAGCCTTGGAGAATTCCCAAGAGCTTCCTGTGCAAGGCTCTGAGAGCGTACTGGAACGCTCTGGAACAATGTATTCTCGTCCTAGGCCTGCCTGCAGAAGGCGAGGAAAGCGAGCAAAGCATGGCCAGCCGCACCGTGGAAGGCGGGCGACGCTCAAGTACGAGCAGGACCTCCGAAGTCAGAACAACAAATCCGTCACCGCGCCGCGATGAACTGGGTGGAATGTTATCAACTACCTTCATATTCTGATATCCGTCTATGTTTTCAATGCTCTTTCTGGCCCCAGGCATCTGGTGTCCAGGATTCTTCGGCGCTTGCAGGCCGTCTGAGGCCCCGGGACCGAAGTTTGGAAACCACACCTCCAACGTGCCTTCTGATCGTCCCAATGGCTTGTACTGGAATCGTCTCAGGACTTTTTGGGGCCGACTTGGAAGCTCTCGGTTGGCATGAAATGAACGCGTCCTCAGGGAGACGGGTCCACGTCGAGGGCCCGGGGAGCCCCAGACCTGCCCCAAACCTTCCGAACCCGTTGCCCTCAACTCGGGGTCTGGCCAGGAGGCCGACATCTCGGGGTCAGACCTCGTCTGCGGAACTGTTGGCCTTCTGGCTGGCTCGCGGCCGGGGGCGCGGCAGCGCCCCACATGAAGTTCTCAAACGTGAAGGCGCCCGGCGGGAAGTCTTCCGGGCGCCTGGTGGCACGAGCCAGGCTGCAAGCGCCATCTCGTGGCCCTCCTCCCTCCTCCGTCCTCCCTCCTCTGGCCTCCCTCTTCCTCCCTGGCATATCCCCCCTCCTCTCCCCCCTTGTCCTTCTTCTCCTCCTCCTGCAATCGCTGTTGCTGATCCTTCTCCTCTTTCTCCTCCGCCTACCTTCCTCTTCCTTATGATGATACCTGAGAAAAAACCCTACTCAACATCATTTTAGGGCTATACGGCTATGGGGCTGTAGGGCGATGGGGCTATAGGGCTATGGAACTATAGGGCTAAAGGGAAATAGGGCTATAGGTCTATAGGACTATGGGGCTAAAGGGCTATAAGGCCATAGGGCTATAGGGCTGTAGGGCTATAGGGCTGTGGGGCTATAGGGCTATAGAACTATGGGGCTCTAGGGCTCTAGGGATATAGGGCTATGAGTATGTAGGGCTATGGGGCTATAGGGCTATAGGGCCATAGGGCTGTAGGGATCTAGGACTACGGGGCTATAGGGCTATATGCATATACAGAGCTATGGACCATAGGGCTATTGGGCTATATGTTCATTGGGGTAAAGGGCTATAGGGCCATTGGGCTATAGGGCTATAGGGCTATAGGGGTATAGGGCTATATGGTTATAGGGCTGTAGGTCTATAGAGCTATAGGGCTCTAGGGCTCTAGGTCTCTAGGGCGATAAGGCTATGGAGCTATAGGGCTATAAAGCTATAGGGCTATAGGGCTATGGGGCTATAAGGCTACTATAAGGCTATAGGGCTATAAGGCTATCGGGCTGTAAGGCTATAGGGCTATAAAGCTTCTGGGCACCCGGGCACCTGAGCACCCGGGCGGGCCGCGGAAATCGGCGGCAGAGCTCACCTAACCATATGAATCTGCTAGGACCTCTACAGAGGCAAACTCTGGTTGGGGAAACATTTCTCCATGTCGCACCCCGAGGCCAATTTTTAGGGCGGGCCGGGCGTTTCGCCTGAGACTTCCTCACCATGTATGACTCTGAAACTAAACATTGGCAACAGTTTCGCAGATGGAGGGCGGGTCGTCTTCAAAATGTGGCTCTCGCCTTAGCGCGGCGCACATCTGTTTTCCAAAAATCGAAAGAGTTTCACGGATTGAGGGAGGGTGGTTTTCAAAATGTGGCTCTCGCCGTAGCGCGGCGCACATTCGTTTAAAACATTTGCAAGGGTTTCGCGGATTGAGGGCGGGTGGCTTTCAAATGTGGCTCTCGGCCTAGCGCGGCGCACATTCGTTTTAAACATTTGCAAGGGTTTCACGGATTGAGGGCGGGTCATTTTCAAAATGTGGCTCTCGCCCTAGCGCGGCGCACATTTTTATTTCTTCTCTGTTTTGTATAAAAAGCAAGAGTTTCACGGATTCTCATCAGCAACGTGCCAGAACTGGTGTTTTGAAAAGATCCAGGATTATGCGGGCGCATCAATTATGTTGATTCGCTGTATTGGAATCCCAGGAATGGCGTTCCGGCACGATTCAGGATTGTCAAGACGTAAGAATCAGGTTGATCCGTGGAGTTGGGATCCCGAGAACAATTGTTTGGCATGCTTCAGGGTCTTCAAACGGTTGTCTTCCAAAGAGGCACTTCCTTCAATGGAAATTAACCGTTGTAGGGGCCTGTGAAGAGGGAGCTTGGAGGGAGGGTCTATTCCGACATCGTTGATGACTCTTGGGTTCACACTGGTCCTCCTTCTCCTCCTCCTCCTCCTCCTCCTCCTCCTCCTCCTCCTCCTCCTCCCCTCCATCCTCGAACTCGCCTGACTCCGAACCCATGCGCGCATGCCTTCTCCCGTGAGGAAGCGTTCGAGCCAACGCAGGGGTCTCCAAACCAGGTGGTGAGACACCCGGTGGTGACCCCGATTCCCCCCAAAAAAGATTCTGGGTCACCACCGGGTTTGGGGACACGCGGTCGCCACGAGGTTTTGCGTTTCCTGGGCCAGCCAGCGCTCGAAAACCATTACCCAAATCGCCCAAAACTCACCACCGGGTGTTCTCACCACCGCAGGGGTCTCAAGATGTCCCCCGGCGCAGCATCTGGGACCCCACGACCCAGAGAGGGGCCTAAGGCGGGCGCGGGGGCTCCACGTCGACCGGGTGCGGAACCGGGGGCGCTTTGACTGCTGGGCACGGAAGCCTGGCGCGATACGAATGGCCACTAAGCATCACGAGCCGTGGCCCCCCTCCTTCCCCTCCCCCCCTCCCCTCCTCTCCCCTCCCCTCCTCCCCCTCCTCCTCCCCTCCCCTCCCCCTCCTCCCCCTCCTCCCCCTCATCCCCCTCCTCATCTCCCTCAATTGACGACCTCTGGTCGCAACATAAATTGGACCACCACACATGCCTCGAGCGCGCCGCCAAAGTCCGAGTTGGCTACGTCAACCGCTGCAGGCAGGTAGAGGCGCTGATTGCGCGGGAGCGCCAGGCCCAGCTGCTGGATCGCCGGCGGGAGATTGCCATCAAACTGCCCCCTCCGGAAGGTCGTTCGATCAGAGGTGCTGGCAGCTCTGCAGCCGTGACGGGCGCAGTACTCGCGCCTGGAGCCACGGTGCAAATTCCTCGTGTTGCGCGGCGCATCGAAGACCGGTAAAAGCATCTTGGCCCGGTCCCTCGGGGCCGCCCTGGGTTTCGCTGGCTGTCCAGAAGGCGAAAGATTTAAATCTTCGCGCGTACAAGCCCGACGAACATTTTCATTCATAGTTTTGATAATGTTAATGACATGAGCTTTCGAGCCAGTCATGATGTGCACACCTTGTGCGACAGCGAAGCAAGCATGTACAGCTACGGTGTGTGGTTGCACAAGGCGCCCCTGGTGGCCACAGTGGACATGTCGGCAAAATGGAAATCTGCAGAGCCGTGGATTCACGAGAACTGCATCGAAGTACTGCTGCAGGGCCCAAGCTGGGTGGAGTGAGCGCTCCACCAGTTGGGTATTGTCATCATCATTATCACCATCATCATCGTCGTCATCATCATCGGCATCAGCATCAGCATCATCATCGTTACCATCACTATCATCATCAACGTCATCATCATCAACATCATCATCATTACTACCACCATCATCATTAGCATCATTACCATCATTACCACCATCACCACCACCATCACCACCGTCACCACCATCGTCATCATCGTCACCACCACCATCATCATCATTACCACCATCATCACCATTATAATCAAGATCAATATGCCAATCGCAACCGAAACCGTTAGCATCATTCGAACGATTATATGTGGAGCGCTCGCGCTCGATGCATTTTAGCTATGTCCTGTTGCTTTCGGCCATTCCGCGACCGCGCCGCGCCGCTGGCCCAGGGGCTGTGGGCGGGGGGGGAACAAACCTGCCAGACATTTTAAAGGCATTCGGACACGCCGGCGCCGCGCAGGCGCGGCGGCGGATATAGGCAGCTGGTTGCTACAATTGAAGCCGTCGTGTTGCCAGCGTGAGAGGCACAAATCCTTCGCGCACTCGTCCATGTCCCAGCGGCTGCCCAGCGGGCGCGCGCGATTCTGAACCGAACTTTCTGCTGCAATGCCTGTGCAATGTGCAACAAGACTCACCGCTTGTTCCCGTCTGCTCGTCATTCCTGCCCTCGCCGTGCCGCTGCCGCCGACGCTGTGCAACTCAGAAAGGTGCGCAGCCCGTCCTGTGGCCCAGGCTCGAGAAACATGAGTGGAGGAGGAGGAGGAGGAGGAGGAGGAGGAGGAGGGGGAGGCAGAGGAGTATGAGAAGGGGGCGGAGGATGCCGGGCGAAGCTTGAGATTCTGGTCCGACGTTCTACTCAAGATGAACTGTCCGTGGTGCCGTGCTTGCGGTGCCGTGCCGGTGAGCTCGTTCGGAGATGGTCCAGTCCTCACAGAGGTGTTCAATATTCTAAACAGAAATTTCTGCTGCAGTGCTCAGAGCCGACGACCGACCGACCGACCGACCAACCGACCAACCGACCGACGACCGAGACGCCGACGACCGGCGACGACGACCGACCGACCGTCGGCCGACGACTGGACCGAACGACCGACCAACCGACTGACCGACAGAAACGACGACGACAACGAGCGACGACGACCGATCGACCGACCGACCGAGACGACGACCGATGACGACCGACGGACCGAGACGACGACGACGACGACGACCGACGGACCGACTGACCGACAGACGAGCGCGCGGACTGACCCGGTTTGGGAGCGAGGTGTGGATCCAGTGCTAGGACCCCCGCCCCTGGCCCGTTCCCCCCCTCTCTCCCCCCGGCTCATATGTTTTAAAGCCCCAAGCCGGGTGAGGTTCCAGCCCTCATTTTTTCACGAAGGCCAATGCTCCAGCCGCCCATGCCGACAAAGAGGGGTGTTTCCGAGGGAAGAGGTTCCGGCCGTCCACTTTTGTGGATTCCAAGGTCTCTACCCAGCGCGAGGATTCCAGCCGACCACGGCGTGGGCTCCAGCCATGCGTTTTTACTCAGCGAAAACGTTCCATCTGCCCACGGCGTGGGTTCACGCCATGCATCTTTACCGAGTGCAAGCGTTCCAGCCGCTCGCGGCGCGGGTTCCAGCCATTCATTCTTATCCAGCGCGGGCGTTCCAGCCGCACACGGCCTGGGTTCCAGCCATGCACTTTTACCGAGCGGCAGCGTTCCAGCCGCCCACGGCGCTGGTTCCAGCCATGCATGTTTACCGAGCGGCAGCGTTCCAGCCGCGCACGGCCTGGGTTTCAGCCATGCATGTGCACCTAGCGCGAGCGTTCCAGCCGCACGCGGCGTAGGTTCCAGCCATGCACTTTTACCGAGCGGCAGCGTTCTAGCCGCCCACGGCGTGGGTTCTAGCCATGCGCTTTTACTGAGCGAGAGCGTTCCAGCCGCGCACGGCTTGGGTTCCAGTCGTGTATACTTACCGCGCACGGCGTGGGTTGCAACCATGCGCTTCTACCGAACGCGAGCGCCGAGTGCCCAGCACTTTCGCGCTGCACTTGCGGTTTCCCTCTACTGTGCCCCTTTCCAGGCGGCCGTGCCGCGCGGGCCTGACTGATGGGTTTCAGGGAAGACAGGCGCCCTGTCCCCCTGGGCCGAGGCGCAAGTGTGGGCTCTCACCAAGCTTGCAAGGACAAGAAGGTAAATCTCTCCCAGGCGGAGGTCGCCAAGTCCGTCGTGAAAATCGGCGGCGGCCACTCCAACCATCAAATCATCAACGCCCTGCAGACGGAATTCCTCGACGAGTCTGAATACCGTGGGAAAAGGGGAGACATCGCGGCTAAGCGCGGGCCGACGCGCCAGTTCACTGGTCAGAAGCAACAGGCCATCGCGCGGGCAGCGACGGCATGGAAGGTCGCAAGCGTCGAGCCCTCTGTGCCCGCCGTCATCGAGCGCTGCCCTTCCGCCACGAAGAACCCCAAGACGAACGCGGCGTTCGACTCGAAGAAGATCTTGCAGGTATTCAAGGCCCAATGCTTCAAGGACGGCGCCGAGCAGCCCTGGGGCCACATCCACCCCCTACATGACGACGGCGCTGCCTCCAGAACAAGTGGAACTGATGCTGGCATGGGGGAAACGCGAGCAACGTTCGGGGCGCGATGAGTTCTGGTATTTCCGCAGCGTGATCTGGATGGACCCGTGCAGCACGGTTCTCTCCGAGGCGCCGAAAACCGCGTTCGACGAGCACCCGGCCACCCGGCGACGTTCACCAAGGGCAAGCGGTGGATCTCCGCTGGCAAGGAGGGGGTCCTCACGCAACCCGAAGGCGCTGCCATACGCCACGAAGCAGTGCCGCAAGGGCCACAAGCGCGTCTGGTGGTTCGCAGTCGTGGCCAGGGGCTGCGCCCAATGCAAGGTCGTGGAGCACGGGCGGCGGCAGAACGGCGAGGGCATGGCCACCAGGCTGTCCCACCTCGATGGCCTCCTACGGTTATGTCGGGCCTGTCCCCCTACAGGGGGGCTTTCGACGAAAAATAAAATGCTCAAATGCTCAAAAAAATTGTCTGGGGGGTATTTTTGAGCATTTTTTTGCCTTTTTGGAATATTTTTGGGGTATTTTTTTTTCCGTCGAAAATCCCCCTGTGGGGGGACACGCCCGACATAATCCTACGGACGATGACGGGGGGCGACGGCCGACTCCCGCGCGTGGTGGCCACGGACCGCGGGCCTGGTTTCTTCCAGACCAGCACGGGCCACGTGACGCAAGAATGCCAGCATGCATTGAAGCGCGGCGGACTCCGGCCGTGGGCCAGTGATGGCGCCAGCCGCCAACCGGCGGACGTGCCCGATCTCTTTCCGCATGAGGAAGCAATGGCGTGGACCCGCAAATACTTCAAAAACCACCCGCTGGAGAAGGGGCGCGGGCTGGAGTCGCTCCAGAATCAGCTCGTGCGCGCGCTGTTGGACCGCGCAGACTACATTGACAAGAACTGCGACGTCGACGGCTTGAGCCGAGGCTTTCCCCGGCGGGTGAAGGCGCTGGTCGATGCCAAGGGCGAGCGCCTCCGTTCGTGAGTGCACGCGGCCCTCCTCGGGCAGATTCAACGGCTGTTGCATGAGTAGGCAACTGAAGCAACCCACGCCTCCACCACGGCCTAAACGAGTTATGATCACTAGACGGACACTCCTCGTCAAAATTCGCACTAGCAAATTAGTCCAACGATTGTAGAACACGCCGCGTAGAACACACGCACGCACACCACGTAGAGTACGCCACGTAGAACACACTGCGTAGAATACACCGCGTAGAAAGCACTGCGCAGTAAGCACTGCGTATATTACTTGATTTCGCAATTATGTTGAGGACTTTACTGTTAAGGCTACCCTTGACTGCTTTATGTGTGCTAGCAATACGGCCCCGGCGACACGCTATGCCAGGCAAGCGGACAACATGTCGCTCCGCTCCCAGGGGCGGGAGGCTGGGACGAGCTCGATAGCGTGTCGCATCGAAGCGTGGTGGACCAGAACCGGCGGAACGACACGCTGAGCCCAAATTTCTGACCGTAACATAGTAACCATCCCGCCACCAACTATACCTTTCGCAAACCGATCCGGGCCCTGAGGGCACCCGCGTCGTCCCAGAACACAATCCCTCGCTGCCCCAACACACAATATGCACGTCGACCTCGCTGCTTCGAATCCGGTGGCTGGCGGGCAAAAACGAAACCAACACAGATCGAGTGGCCTGGCAAACATGCCCTCCGCGAGCGCTGAGAATTCCTCGTCGAAGGACCGACGCATCGCCAAAGTGGCTGCATAGCAGTCGCTGCCGTCGAGCCACTTCCACTCCTCCTCAGGGGTTCTCAACACGAAAGTTGGAACAAGAAGCAGACTCCCTTCTCCTCATCATCCTCTCTTTCTCTTGAGTGCGTGCGAGGATAATCGAAACGAGGGGAGGCACAACTCAGTACGGCTGTGTAAACAAAGGTGCGGACCAATCTACAACAAATCCAGCCTTTACCTGTCGAGCAAAAATGAATGTCAAGAATATCCTCTCTTCCAAAAGTGCCAGTACGTCACACGGACAAGCCACATCTCCTACGTATGGGTTGCGCTGTCCAACTGTTCGCGGGAGCGGCGTTCAAACGTGTAGGGATACTCCTTCTCCTTCTGCCATCCTCTTCGTCCCGTCCTCCTGCTTCCCCTTTTTTCCTGGAGCTGCTTCCTGCTGATCCCGCTCCTGTTGCTGCTAGTGCTGCTGCTGCCCATCCCCCCCTCTCCCCTCCTCGCCCCCCCCTCCTGCCTTGCTCCTCTTCCTTCATGACGCGTGTATCAGGTGCGACCACTATTTGTTTCGTCCCCCTGCCGCCGTCTCGACAAAAAAGCCTGCCCCCGACCCCCTGGCACACACACACACACACACACGCACACACACACACACACGCACACGTCCTGCGAAGCGATAGCCCGAGAAAAACTCGAGCGTGGCGAGGAGGTTCACTACGATGGATGAAAAAGGGAAACATGACGCAGGCGGAAGGAGCGATTATAGATGGTACAAGAGCGAAGACACAAGGGAGCGCGCTGCCGAAATGGGAGCCCCACTCGTCAGCGAAAACAGATTTTACAATCTGAACGTGCTTAGTGGCGTGCGAATTTTGTGAGGGCATGGAACTCAGTGGCCAGCAACTCTCTCGGTGCTGGAAACGACAGCTGGATGCATGACGGAACGGCGATGTAGAACGAGGCGTAGAGGCGAGCGCAAGCGTCGATATGGCTCGTGGAATAGCCAGCGAAATCACGAGATGCCACCACCTGGCCGCCGTGGCGCCCCCTTGATAAGCAAGTCGCGCGCCATGGCCGACGCTCGCCCCCCTCGCAAATGCTTGCCCGACGCGGCGATGCTGATGCCCTTCCGCAACGGGGCTAAGGACTGCGATTCGAGAGAGCCGGTGCCTGGTGCCAATGCCGGTGCTGGCGCTTGTGCCGGTGCTGGTGCCGATGCCCAATGCTGGTGCGGGAGAATCGCGCAATAATGCTGCGTGATCAAAGGATGACAAAGCCGGCCGAGTGATAGTGACATCGTAGCACTGTCAAATACAGCATCAGCTGTACCAATAGTAGGTGTAGTCGTCGTAAAAGCAAAAGAAATAGTAATCGTAGAAATATTCGTATTCGTTTTCTTATACAACGTGGTATGACAATTGTTACCAGTAGTAGTCGTCGTAGTACTAATCGTAGTAATCGTCGTAGTACTAGTGTAGTAGTAGTAGTAGTAGTAGTAGTAGTAGTAGCAGCAGTAGTAGTAGTAGTAGTCGTAGTCGTAGTCGTAGTAGTAGTAGTAGTAGTAGTAGTAGTAGTAGTAGTAGTAAAAGTAGTAGTAGTAGTAGTAGTAGTAGTAGTAGTAGTAGTAGGTAGTAGTAGTAGTAGTAGTGGTAGTCGTGAGATCAGTAGTCGTAGTCGTAGTAGTATTCATTATCGTAGTAGTCGTAGCAGTAGTAGTAATGGTATAAGTAGTAGTAATCGTAGTAGTAGTAGTAGTAGTAGTAGTAGTAGTAGTAGTAGCAGTATTCCTCGTGATGGCAGTAGTAGTAGTAGTAGTAGTAGTAGTAGTAGTATTCGTATTCGTAGTAGTAGTAGTAGTAGTAGTAGTAGTAGTAGTAGTAACAGTATTCCTCTTGATAGTAGTAGTAGTAGAAGAAGAAGTAGTAGTAGTCGTAGTAGTAGTAGTAGTAGTAGTAGTAGTAGTAGTCGTAGTAGTCGTAGTAGTAGTAAGAGTAGTAGAAGGAGTAGTAGGAGTCCTAGTAGCAAGAGTAGTAGCACTAGCAGTGGTAGTCGTAGTAGTAGTAGTAGTAGTAGTAGTAGTAGTAGTAGTAGTAGTAGTAGTTGTAGTAGTAGTAGTAGTAGTAGTAGTAGTAGTAGTAGTAGTAGTAGTAATAGTCATAATAATGATGGTAATTCTAATAGTCGTAATCGTAGTAGTAGTAGTAGTAGTAGTAGTAGTAGTAGTAGTACCAGTAGCCGTCCTAGAGTAGTAGTAAAGTAATAGTAGTAGTAGTAGTAGTGATACTAGTAGTCGTGGTAGTCGTAGGAATAGTTGTAGCAGTAGTAGTAGTAGTAGTAGTAGTAGTAGTAGTAGTCGTAGTAGTAATAAAAGTATTAATACTAGAACAAATAATTGCAGAAATAGTAATATTAATAGAATTCGTAGTCGTAGTAGTCGTAGTAGTAGACGTGGTAGTGGTAGTAGTAGTAGTAGTAGTAGTAGTAGTAGTAGTAGTAGTAGTCGCACTCGTAGTCGTAGTCGTAGGACTAAGGATCATAGTAGTAGTAGTAGTAGTAGTAGTAGTAGTAGTAGTAGTAGTAGTAGTAGTCGTAGTAGTAGTAGTAGTAGTAGTAGTAGTAGTAGTAGTAGTAGCAGTCGTCATAGCAGTAGTTGTGTCGTAGTCGTAGTAGTAGTAGTAGTAGTAGTAGTAGTAGTAGTAGTAGTAGTGTAGTAGTAGTAGTAGTAGTAGAAGTAGTAGACGTCGTAATAGTAGTAGCAGTAGTAGTAGTAGTAGTAGTAGTAGTAGTAGTAGTAGTAGTAGTAGTAGTAGTAGTAGTAGTAGTAGTAGTAGTAGTAGTAGTAGTAGTAGTAGTAGTAGTAGTAGTAGTAGTAGTAGTAGAAGGACAAGAATCCCACCAGCCCTTTGGGCGTGAGTGGTTTAGAGAGCCCTCTCTGTTCTCACCCCCCCTTCTTCCCCTTCGGGGAGGGGTTTACCCCTCCCCCTACCCCCTCCCCCTGGACCTGGAGAGGGGGTTCCGCGGGTCGTTGGAGGGGTCTTTTTCGACTCCTGGGAGGGCTAAACAACGACACCCCTCACGAGGATTCTGGCCCCGACGGGGGGCCAGAGAAAAAACCCTCTCCTCTTCTGTGAAGCCAAAATCATCGATTTTACTACGGTTTCGGCCCCATTTTGGCCTTCTGAGGGGGCAGCGCTCCTTTTCCTTCATAGCAAAATCATTGATTTTACGAAGGTTTTGGGTTCATTTTGTCTTTCTCAGGGGGCAGCGCTCATTTGCGCTTCTGAGGAGGTCGCAAGAGGCCCCAAGATGGCCCCAAGAGGCCCCCAGGAGGCTCCCAAGAGGCCTCCAAGAGGCCCCCAAGAGGCCCCCAAGAGGCCCCAAGAGGCCCCCAAGAGGCCCCCAAGAGGCCCCCAAGAGGCCCCCAAGAGGCCCCCAAGAGGCCCCCAAGAGGCCCCCAAGAGGCCCCAAGAGGAGAGGCCCGAACGAGGAGCCCGAACGACTCACACCAGGACGAGGGGCCCGAACGACTCACACCACGAAGAGCCCGAACGACTCACACCACAAGGAGGGGCCCGAACGATTCACACCAGGACGAGGCGCCCGAACGACTCACACCACGAGGAGCCCGAACGACTCACACCACGACGCGGGCCTCGAACGACTCACACCACGAGGAGCCCGAACGAGTCACACCAGGAGGAGGGGCAGCGCTCATACAAGCCCCCCAAGATGGCCCCCAGAGGTCCACCAGATGGCCCCAAGAGGTCCCCAGATGGCCCACAAGAGGTCCCCAGGAGGCACCACGAGGCCTCCAAGAGGCCCCCAAGATACCCCCAAGAGGTCCCCAAGAGGCCCCAAGAGGCGCCGAAGACGCCCCAAGAGGCCTCGTCCTTCTCCCGCTCCCCCCACAAGGAGGATGTACAAGGAGGAAGGAGTAACAGGGGAGATATGCGGGGCCAAGCGGACACACGCCTGAAAAACACGACTGTCGGCATGCTTCGCAAGAGTTGCTGTTGTGAGATGGGCTGGCGGGGATACGCGAAGCGTAAATAATTAGTAGTATTCGTAGTAATGGAAGTCGTAGTAGTAGTAGTAGTAGTAGTAGTAGTAGTAGTAGTAGTAGAAGTAGTAGTAGTAGTAGTAGTAGTAGTAGTAGTAGTAGTAGTAGTAGTAGTAGTAGTAGTAATACTAGTAGCAATAATAGTAGTAGGCGTAGTCGTAGTAGTAGTAGTAGTAGTAGTAGTCGTAGTAGTAGTAGTAGTAGTAGTAGTAGTAGTAGTAGTAGTAGCTGTAGAAATGGTAGTAAGGGTTGTCGTAGTCGTAGTCGTAGTAGTAGTAGTAGTAGTCGTAGTAGTAGTCGTAGTAGTAGTAGTAGTAGTAGTAGTAGTAGTAGTAATAGTAGTAGTAGTTATAGTAGCAGTAGTAGTACTCGTAGTAGTGATAGTAATAATGGTAGTAGTCGTAGTAGCAGAGGTAGTGATCGTATTACTAAAAACTGTAGCAATCGTGGCAACATTAATAGTAGTAGTATTAATCGTAGTAGTAATAATAGTAGTAGTAGTCGTCACAGTAGTAGTAATAGTAATACTAGTAGTAGTAGTAGTAGTAGTAGTAGTCGTGGTAGTAGTAGAAGTAATA